TTTTCTGTTTTAATATATTTTAAAATGTCATTTATTCCTGTGATATTTCAGCAGCCAGTCATTATCAATGTTTAAAACAGTTGTGCTGCTTAATGTTTGTGGAAACTGATAAAAAAAAAATTTCCAGGATCCTTTGATAGATAAAAAAGGTACAGTTTATTTGAAACAGAAATATTTTGTAACATTATACATTTATTTGAAACATAAATGTATTTACTGTCACTGACTCACTTTTGATCAATTTAATGCATCCTTGATGAATAGAAGTAGTTATTTCTACTAAAAAAAAGTGAGCTTAAACTTTTAAATGACAGTTTATCTTTTTGCTAAATCGTTGTCTCCTCAAACATTGTTTTTTTCATTGATTGTGGCAGACAACCACACAAAAAGGGAATCATTTGACCATAATTTGCAAAGTACTGTTGAAAGCTCCCGGTGCTCCCAGATTCCTAAGAATTGCATCCTGCTAAAAGGCTGTGTGATCACTGGCCGAAAGAAAATTACCCATTATAGGTGGGGCCAGCAGCTGCGCTGTCCAATCAGAGCTCAGTCTGAAGTTGATTGACACATTCTAGTTCTACTGGGTCAAAACATCAAAGGGATTCTTCATGTAACATCAGAAAAGGAACTGTCCTATATAGTGCACTTGATGTGAACATGTGGACTTACAGTCTTGTGGTCTTCACTTGCACATGTCCCATTAGGTGCCAAAGCTATAGAGTGTTCCATTTGTGAATTTTATGATTCACATGCTCATGCTGTGCCCTTTTGTGAAGACCTCACGTGTATATTCCTTGAGTTTGTGTTTCAGCATGTGAGTACTGCGATGAGCTCGTCGATCGGCGCCGTCTCTGAGGGCTCCAGCAGTCTGAATGTGTGGCTGAAGGTGATGAAGTGCGTGAAGAGCGTGTTGAGCTGCGGGTGCATCTCCACAGCGATGGCGTCCTGGTAGTGAACGCTGAACAGGTGAGCCAACGTACGGAAGAGCATCACAAAGATCTTCTGAATCAGGAATATGAATCCAGAAGGGAACGATGACCCTAAAAACACACACATACAGTCACTTCTGTGAGTTCAGATCATTTTCAGCTCACTAGGCTAAAGCTATGGCAAATTCTGATGGTGAGAACTTCATACCGGCCTTGGTAGGAAACACACGCTCATCTGAGAGTATCTCCTGGATGTAGGACAAGGCGTAGTCGATGTAGATCGGAGCTGAACACTTCAGTTTCTTCCCCTGATCGTCTGTCCATTCATACAAACTGAACA